TTGAACTCCGCATGGATGGGAAAGGTGAGCCTAAATCCCCTCCAGGTCCCGGTAAAAGCTGACATAGTACCCTTGGTTCATCAGAAATCTTCGAAAGGCTTGTGACATGACCCATGGACCACTCTAGACAGTCGATTCGGTCAGTCGGAGTTGTGTACTATCGACTCCGTATTTCAGAATCCCTGGGACTCCCAGCGTTCGAACAAATTCAGAGCCACAAGGACGACCAACCTTCAGTTTCGTACTTTTAAATATCTTGAAGACAATGACTGTATGTGGAAATGAACGTAGCAATGAGTTTTCAGACTGGGCCCCATCGGGTACTGAGTAATGCAACAAGAAACAGACTTTAGAGGCAAATATTTTACCTTCCGATGAAGTCCTTTCCACTAAAATTGAATGACTTTCGTGCCTGATTGGCTAGAATGTATTCCAAATCAAGCGACAATTGCAGTAAGTACGGAAGATAGTGGGCCTTGCAGACATCGATCACAAGCTCCGGTTTGGAGAACAAACTCATTATAAAACCCTGAGCGACTTCTTCTGTACCATCCGACTTGCAAACTCGTTATCTCGCCTGGCCTCTGATTCAACTATGGGTGGAATCCGGAAACTTCCGTTGACTGATCAACGACAAAGCTTTCGGAGACGATTACAACGTGCACTGTCCCTGTCATCCTCCGGGTCTGAGGATATCTGGATTCCGCCCAGATCCGCGGCGGGGGATACTACAGAGGACGAGTGTTCTCAGGAGGACGACTCTTTTGGCAACCACCGCAACGGAATCACAGCGGATGATGGCCAGGAAAGTTTTCTGCACACCTGGGGTAGGGGCCCGAGACCAGATGACGAACTGGAGCAACCCGGACAGGATCTCTCCGAGAACTGCAATATGATCGCCTTCCAATGTCTTGCAGAGTGAGTGTCAATCCGCTCCCCCGGAATGGTGTTTTGTGATATGCTTGCTTACAACGTTTAGACTAGATGTCCGAACGAAGTCAGTCGTGCGACCCACCCGAGAAAGAATGCAGGCTGATTATTTGCAGGTCCATGCAGAATTCATTGAATAACCAGAACAGCTGGATTGGAAATATTCGCAGTGATCTGGAGGAAATCCGCAGTCGGTTGGCGGTTGTGGAGACGGCTATTGAAATGAGGGCCAAAGAGGGGGAGAACAATGCTACTGAGGGTGATACATCTAGACGATCGCTTCGGTCGCAGAAGTGATTCAGATCGAAATATGATGGAATTAAGCCTATACCCTAGAGCCCGATGTCAGCCTTGTTAGCTGAGGTATATTATTCCGTTGTGCTTTGCGAACAATTATATTTCACCTCGGCAGACTCTCGCTTGAAGTTGTATATAACCGCAGCCCTGCGGGAGGTCAGAAGAGAAAGCGTCGATAGAAATACGGTGTGACAAGATGACCTTCCTGTCCTGGCCGGCTGGAAGTCGCAACCTGATACGATAAAACATGCGATTAAGGTTTTACGGGAGTTCAAACCCCTGGCGATCATTTCAAGTCACACCGGACCTACCCGGGATGTGCGCCCTGCTGCTAGCCACCTTTAGCGGCCCTGGAGCATTCTCTCTTCCGTCCAACTGGCGGAGCAAAAGTCTGATCATTTAACTATATTCTTACGTGAAAGTTCGTTCTACTATGGGGGAAGATAAATCAATGCATATATTTGTTTCCAATTTTACTGTTATCCTGGGATGGCGATGGTGTTGCTAAAGATTATGCCTTGAGCTATCTACCTGCGAGGTGGTTATATGAAATTGACTATGAAGTTCCGCCACTGCCAAAGCCGTTCCAAACTCTGGATCTGTCATGGTTCACACAAGCGATTCATACTGGTTGGTTGGAGCTGGCACCTGCTGAGTAACAAGTGGGTAATTACTCGATGCGGAGAATCCGGGTAGGGCATTGTGACCTAAATTCCCCAGCGGGCCATCCTGGTCGGGCCAAGTTCCGTGAATTACTTCAGAGACAGGCAAGTAGGGCGCCGGTCTACGATTCTGAAGAGCATCGATCGTGTTCCAGAGCCGAGTGGTCGCAGATACCATCTCACAGTGTGTCTGA